GCTTTTCTATGTATTAGATTTATCATAGGGGGCTTTTTTGTTTTTTACCTAAAAAATTATAAAATAGGAAAGATGAAGAGAGATCCAAAGGCAAGAATAGGAGGGAAAATGAGAGAAAAAAAAACTCGTTGCTGCATAATGAGAAAAATGAAGAAAAAGAGTAATCAGTGGACTATGAACCCTAACAAAATCAACGGAAATATATGAAGTTGACAAACTAAGAATAATGTTGGTATTTGAATAAAAATTGTTCTAACATAAAGATTATAACTCTAGCAAAATCGCTAGGCATGGTAGATTTTTAAAAAAAAATTAAGGGACAATTTGTACGCTCAGTATTAGATATAGGTCAATCGTGAAGGCTACTCATAGAGGTTAATTGAGAGGAAATTTGATGACTTAAAGTTTAAATAAAAAAAGAATAGGAGCAAAAATATAAAATTGGCTTTTCCCAGTCTTGTGACCTTTAAAAGGCGGGATAAGATTTATGTGAGGACCCAAAAATTATTTTATATTTTATCTTATTTCTTTGAATACGTTTCCTTTACTTTACTTTATTTGCCTTAATTTCTTAGATACTTTTATAAGTGAGTCAAGATTTTTGTCATTTTCCTTCTATAAGTTGGTGCATGTTAAGTTCGTAGTACATTATGGAAGTGGGACCCACTAGTGAGGTGTGTGCGATAAATTTTGAAAATTAGGAGGAGTTTTGTGCAAAGAGATATTATTTTATGAGGTGTTAGAGATAATTAGAGGTTGGCTAGATATTTTAGTGCTTAAGGATTAGCTCTTGGATTGCCATTTGTCAAAAAGCCATGGAACCTTGACTTTGACCAAGACTATTCTTAGTCTTTATTTTAAAAACAATTGACCAAAAATCTCTCACTTTTCTTCCTTCTTGGCCGAACCATTGAGAGAGAAAGAAGAGGAGAAAAACTTCAATTTCCAACTTAATCTCTTGTTTGATTCCTTGACAAATTCACCATAAAACCCTAATTCAATATGTAGGAAGTTGTATCAAGGAAGGAGGGAAAGCTTGTGTGGAGTGATTTGGGGAAAAGAGAGCTCTTGGTTGCATTTCTCCTCGGGTTTGAAGGTATTTATGTCAAGAAACTACCTTATCTCTTTTATCTTGCACTTGAATGGGTTTAGTACTTGATTATGGTAGTTTTCATGGAAAATTTCCTAGTTTTGTATAGTAGTTCAAAATTTCCAACTTTGATTGAGAAATTCCAGCCTTGAAATGCTGATTCTACCTTTACTATGTCCTTTTAGTCTTGCCATGAAAGATTTTCAGCTTTTGCATGCACTGTTGGCTTCACTATAGGAATTTCTAGCTTTTGGTTGTGAATTACAGCTTAAGGTTCAATTTTTCAGCTTTGTTATGGTTGTATATGAGTTAATTATATATCCAAGTTGGTTAGTTTTGTGGCCTAGGATAAGTGCTCCTCATATCTTATAACTTGAGGTTTTGATTAAGGTTGATTTGCCATATAGTTAAGCTTTGAATTTGGAGGAGAAACTTAGGAAAATTAGGGGAAATGCTGGGCGAATGGGAATCGTCTTGGTTTCCTTTAATTTTCAAGTGATTTTGTGATAAATTTGCCTAAGATACTTAGTAAACCCTTAAGCTTTACTTGTGTGCTGAATTTTAGTTGAAATGAAGAGGTTTCATTGGTGTTTCCCTCTAATTTTGTTGGCAACGAATTGCTTGTTAGCCGAATTGATGGTGATGCATTTCACTTTGTTTTTCAACCTTTTCATATTGAGTTTTGGCCAAATCTTGTTCCAAACACTTATTAAGACTTTTGTGTGCTGAACTTACATGAAAAATCATGAATTTTGGAAGGTGAAAACCTCATGTTGTACTTGTTTCTTTTCTAAAAAATCGAATAGGCTGGCAGCTATGTGCCCTGCTATTTTTAGCCTTAAAATCCTTTAGTTTGGCAGTCTTTTGGTTCAATCTTGTTTATATCACTTGTTAAAACCTTGAACTACAATGGTATGTTGAATTGGAGTGAATCTAATAACTTAAAAAGGTGAACCACCATGATTTCTTCACTGTTTTGCTGCTAAAAATTTCCAACAATGAAATGAAATGATGAACACTTTGGTTGCTCATGTTTCTTGGGTCCAAATGCTTTTCTTTCACTCCAAAACCATACTTGAATCATTGCCCTATTATGTACTTGGATTTTCCTTGGTTCACCTAAGCTTTGGATAGTTGGACCATCATATCTTTATCTTGGTTGCTCTTAGGGTTTGTCGGCAAACACAAGTATAACTCGAAGATGAACGTTTAACATTGTTCTGCTTTGAACTAGTGAGTGTACCACTTGTATGACTTGTTGCTTAAGTGAACGACTATGTGACTGAAATTTATGAATGTATGACTATGATTTTGGTCTACTCTAGGTTGGACGGATGTGTACTTTATCACACTCGGTTCCACTTGATTGTTTGATTGTTATACTATTCGCTTGAAATACATTACTTGTGCTTGAATTGAATGTCGTTTGGAATATACTATCCAACGACCACACTGTGAACTTGGGCACAAACCTCATTAGTTAGTTAATCGAATCGAACCTGCAAGAGCTTGGTCGAAATAGATTGACAAGCCATGGGGAAACTGTTACTAAATCATTGAATAATGTTTATTCTGAAATTTTGGTATACTCAAGTATTACTTTCACTGTGTGGTGTTCGGGCCCGGTAGGAGAAATGAATGGTGGACGGGAATTGATGTAAAACGGTGATCGACGGACAATGTTTCTGCTTCTCTAAACGTTGACGGAGTATCAACGGGTTTAGATCAAGCTACTGCGACTGGGAATGTAGCTCCAGAAAGCTAACTATATCCTTTAACCTGAATCCCTCTGTGTTCGTTGTGGTGTTGTTTGTTTCTTTAATTGGTACTCATGTTGATTACTTAATGATTGATCTATGTGATTTTGTTTTTCTTGTTTTATTTCTGACTACATGTCCTTGTGGTATCGCATTAGGCGAAACCTCATTCTATTATCTTTGTTTTTCCTTATAAGGACAAAGACTTGGGCTGGTGATTTTGGGAAAAGTTGAACTAGTTTTAGACCTTAGGCATTTTGTTTAACCTCCTCTGTATTAGTAAACCTTATATGTATTTATATAAGATTTAATACTTTGACTTGTACTCTAAATTTGAATTGTTAATGACTCCATTGTATATAATAGTGGGCTTTGGTGTTTTGAACTTATGTTGTTCGTTTTTGTGCCTACTAAGAATTTTGGATTAATGAATTCTGACGAGAGTTAGGCAGGCAGTCCGCTAACCCTTGGGGTACGTCCTAAGAGAAGGTGGGACTGTCACAATTTAAATAATAAAAAAAAGAATAGGAGCAAAAATGTAAAATTGACTTTTGCCGCCCTTATGACCGTTTAAAAGACCGGTAGAGGATCCAACATGAATAAGGGACAAAACGGAAATAAATAGTGGTTGCAAGGGGCATTAAACATGATCAAGCAACAACAAATCATAAAAGAATAAGCGTACGCTAAAGAAATAACAAAATAAAGACATACAGACAACTCATAATATTTGCAAGGAACTACCAAAATACCAACAAAACATCTTAAAAGGATGATACATCAGCTATTCATAAGGGCTTCTCCTCTTTTAAAGAGTAGAGAAGTACCAGTCTAAGTTGGCTCTCAGCATATGATAATCTATAGAAATGAAATGCCACTTAGTTAGTTAATGTGAAATATACTACTCTTTGAATAGATGCATTGGAGTGATTGTATCCTTATAAATGAACATTCATCTCTTAATCAAATCATCCATTGACTTGGCCTATTAGCTAAATTAGTTAGAGCACCCTGCTAATAAAGTGAGGATTGCAAGCATGAATATGAATCATCAAATCGTTCATTGATTTGAAAACAGTTACATGTTCTTTTCAAACTAAATTGAAAACATAAAAGGAGCAGCTGCTATGATCTGGGTGTAAAAGACATTGGGATGCTGTCATGATTTCAATCGCCTACTAACTCTTTTCATTCCACTTGAAACTTCTTTTTGTCTATACAACATTGTAGTATTAAACAAGCTTTTATTTTTAAAAAATTCTACAAAGAATGGCTTTCTTGCTCGGATCATTGTATTTCGATTTTGAGGTATCTTATACATACAAGTGGACAATTTGCTAAATTGTGCTGACCGATCTGTGATGCAAACCTGCAGCAAGTGTCCTTTGAATAATCCCAACTAGGCTATATAACCTATTGCGTATTTGCTGAGCATGGACAAGTACATATACCTTGAATGAACCTAAAAAAGTACTTTCTACATGATTGGCTGTTATTTCTAGTTTTGTTCTTAACTTAATTTCTGAGCATTAGAATTGGTATTAACCATTGGTAATCTATGCCAAAATTTGTAGTTATACGTGCTTTGTGTTTTCAAGTTGTACAAGTAATACTTATCCCTCAAAAATAGAAAATCAATGTGTAGTGCAGTGAATGAAAACCCATATGGGACATATCCCAAATCATAGAAGCTAAGAGTTTTAATTTAATTTATTGCATTTACACTACCAATTGTGAAGTTGTGGGGCCAAAACCTATGATTAGAAGGGATAATAATCTCTATTGCTTATTTACACATGGCCGAAGTATCAATTAGTTGTCATCATACAAAAGAAAATTTTGACAAATTTTGTATTATGTTAAAAGAAAGGAAAGTAAGGTTGGGCTTTTGTACTGAAGACCATTAATGCTTAACATAGTGCTGAAAATTTTAGAAGCAACATAACATCATGAGCACTAGCTCAAATCAATGCTTGCTTTCAATAGTTTCCCTAAACATTATCATTGATAGCCATTTTTATTCTTTAGCAAAGAATCAAATACATATATACGGTTTAATTAATGAGGTAATTAATTATCTATTTTTTTATTTTTTCAGTAATAACATTTTATTAGAACAAAACAGAGAAATACAAGCAAGTGAGGTATTACAATTAGGGCGTGGCACCTGTAACCCTAAACCTACCAAAGGAAGGAAAGCCTAGCCTATCCAATCGGTATGCACCCCTAGCCAATTTGGGTAAATCCTTAATACCCTCATAGACATAAACCACATGCTGATGATGTGCCAAACCAACATTCGCCATTACATCCGCAACCTTATTTGCTTCTCTATAAGAGTGTGTGAACTGACAACTTCCCCCAGCTAGTAACTCAATCTTCCCCACCTCACCATTGATGGACCATGGACTCTGGCAATGCTTTAGAAGAATGCGCTGCAACAGCAAAGAATCTGTCTCCACCACCAAATTACCACCAAAGCCCCGTTGCACACATAACTATAAACCGAGGAATAATGCTTTGGCCTCTGCCTGCAAATACCATACTGCCCGTAGAGTTTCGAAGGATCCCACCTCCTTCACTAACCCTAGGGTTACCCTTTGAACACCCATCAATATTGAGCTTGACCCCACCGGCCCATGGAGGGAGCCACCGAATTTGATGCACGAGGAATGCATCTGGCCTTCCTTCAATCGATTCCAAGAACTTAGGCCAATCTACCTCCCGATGTATCTCTCCGAATTTGAGCAAGAAAATAGACTTCAACTCTTGGAATATGGCCTGACACACCTCTTTTGGTCGCTGTATGGACCCCTGGAAAACCGCTGTGCACCTAGCCTTCTAAATATGCCAACAGATAAGTGTAGGTAACACGCGGAACACAAACCGGAGCTTTTCATTGCTCACTGGCTTGAGCCACCAAGCAATCAGCCAAACCCGGACATGGCTGACATTCACAACCAACCCTCCTACTGAACCAAAGAAATGTCTGACCGCATTCGCAAGTTCCCCCTTCACGAATAAGTGATGAAGGGATTCACTACTCGAAACGAGACAACAGGAGCATTGGAAGGAAGCTGAAACCCACGTTCTGTCAACACATCATCCAAGGGAAGGCAATTAGACAATAAACGAAGCATAAAGAATGACACCTTTAAGGGGATGCTCAAATGCCATATTTGGTGAAATAAGTAAGACAAGTGCTTCACCTCTCGAATCTCTCTATATGCAGACGATATAGAAAAATGACCTGAGCTTGACGCTTGCCAAAGCATTCGATCATGGGAGGCCCCATCCGGCCCTGCCACCAATAATTCCTGCTGAACCAATTCACTAGGCAGGACTTCGGCCAGCTTCGACGGGACCCAATCCATATCCTTCATAACAGACAAAATCAACACGTCCTCCCGCACTCCTATCCTTAGATATAAAGCCCCATGTCTTGTCCAATTATCATACCAGAAGCTACAATGACCCTTGTGCAGGCTCCACCCAATAAACAACTCTGCCAACCCTCGAATATCCAACATTCGCTTCCAAGTTACGGAACCCAAAGTAGTCGCAGAAATTTGGCAGGGATGAAGGCCCTTACAATACTTAGCATTCAGGAACTGCACCCACAAAAAGAGGACACATCAGAAATTCCACCACAATTTACATGAGAAGGCCTTGTACATGTCAATGAGCGATCGAAACCCAACCCCACCTTCATCGGTCGGATAACACAAGTCTTATCTCTTTAAATTAACTATATGTGTTAACAAGGATTATCTCTCTCACAGTATCACTAACACACATTCAAATGCATAGACTAAATATTTCCATATTCTACATGCTTCGCACGCGCACACTACCTTTATAGGTTCCTTACATCATTGCATGGCTTTTCGCCTTACTAGTCTGGTTCAAGAAGTGGATCACAAGATATTCTTAACTTTGTGGATCGTTTATTTATGAAAACCTATATAATATCTTTTTGGCTACAACTTTTGACTAATTGTATTGATTGATGTGATAATATAAAGTACTAATGTAGTTTGTCGACCTAAAAAAATGTGATTTGCCAATCTTAAATGTCAGTTAAATTGTTTGTCTGCCGCAACTTTTGGATGGAAGTGCTTTGTTTGAAATCTATAGATCCAAACCAAAAGTGTGCCATTAGGGCTTGGAGTAATGAGCTAACTAGATGTAGTGTGCCTGTTGCTCCGAGAATCTAAGAAGTGAAGCAAACATAGTCAACCATTTATGTGTGGAATTCTTGCTCTCATTATATTTTATAGCCTTATAAAGGAGTGATACACAATAAAAAGTTCTCTTTAATTATTAGTCAAAAAAATGTGATAATGCGAGTGGTCTATTAAATGAATTATTTTCAAAATAATAGAAATAAACTCAAATATCTCTTTCTAAGTAGAATCAATAATAAGTCCATGAATGTTATCAAAAAGACAAAATTCATGTGCCATTTCCTTATGTTTTGTGTGCGATGTGTTTAACTTCGTCAAATTGAAAGTGCACACTCAAACAAAATCCTTAGCTTTGTCCTTTATAGTCCACAAATGTTGTCAATAATAAATCACAGGCAACAGAATGGAGTGATTTTCAATTAACAACTAGAGACGAAAATGATTGGATTCGATTAGAACCATTCCCTGTTCTCTAGAAAATAATTAAGATAATAGCAGAAACATACATTGAATACAATTCAAAGCAGTCATCCTTCCAACTTGATTTCAAAAGAAGTCCCAAAGATCTTACTTGATTGAAGTACTGTAGTTCTACTTATTTTTTTAAGATAATAGGTTGTATGGATACCAAATATTATTTCGTTGCTCTATACAGATGTCTTTCAATCACGTTTTTTTCTTTCTAACCACTTTAATTGTTTCAATTTCTAAACACATTTAATCTGATTGCTGATTTTTGCCAATTACTATAGGAATCCAATCACTTGCTACCATGTGTCAATAACTAATTTTTTTTAAAAATTAAAAATATGAAAAAAGATATTGTTAGCCATATTTTTTTAATAAAAAGAGGAATAATTACCTGTATGTCAAACACATAAGCAATTAACTTTTATTCCAATATACATGAAATATTTTTCTTTTTGTTGGAAAATTGGCAGTGACTAGGAAAAGAGGAATTTATTTTTAATATAAGTGGATTCCTGGGAAGTTTTACCTACAAAAACGAAGTAGAAAAAAATAGAAAGAGCTAAATTGACTAATGTTGTGCCTCACCCTCTGCTAAAGTTTAGTGCGTTCAAGGCACAACTACTAGAATGTTTCAGCATATGTGCATAATATTAACAAAAGTTTTCAATTATAAAAAGAACTATCTAAAAAAAAACTTAGAAGGGATGCTATGGGAGTTAATTGTCATTTCCTATGGTTTATAGCCATTGTAACAAGCTGAATTTTGACAAAAAAATAAGAAAACATCACACTAAGAAGCTACTTATGCTTTATTAATGTAACCATACTTGTTAGCGGGCATAGTAGTGCAATAGAAAGCCAACAAGGATGATAATTAACTTAAACCCTTAAAGCCAACTTTTTTTTTTTGGGTCCTCCTTGAATATAAAACAGTAAATACATAAACCTGGTACACACAAAATAAGGATGGAATGGAAAAAATGAATAGCCGTTAATGCACATGGGAAAAGGGTAGAATGGAAAACCTATGCTAGTAATCCATCATAGTATGGTAGATCAACAATCAAATGACAGACATCTAAGGGCCCAAGTGTAAGGCATCTATTATTCAAGTCAATATTTCAATAAGCTCAATAAAGATAGTCAAAGAATAGATATGAGATACATATCCTTATTCCCTCTTCCTTCCAAACATCAAAATCATAATAAATAAGCAAACAAATCTATTGCCTAATGGGACAAAAATAAACTTGAAAGCAGTTTGTAGTGATGCATAAAGTAGGAGGTGTTTATTGTTTCCTTCTTTTAAAGGATTTACACAGATGACATGTTTGGTTGACAAACATCCTTTACAAAAACCCCCAAACTTAGAGCTTAACACCTAAATCTACCGTATCAATTCTCCCATCCCTTCCCTTATTCACTCAAATCATTTGCCTAAATCTACAGTATTAGTTCTTCCATCCCTTTCCTTGTTCACTAAAATCATTCGCCGCTCTTTTTACTCTATATAAATTCGATTGAAATTCAATAGAATTTTCTAAATTGATATAAATTATTATACATTATAGAGTTGATTAAAGAGCCAGAAAAACTCTTGCTAATGACTTCAACTTTGTTCTCCTTTGTTCTCCTTTGTTGATTAAAGAGCCAGAAAAACTCTTGGCATGACTTCAACTTTGTTCTCCTTGACAATTGAATGGTATGATTATGGTGGTTTCAACATTATTTTTGATTATGGTGGTTTCAACATTATTTTTGATGTTGAAGCCGCTTGTGCTCCCATCACTTCCAGAAAAACTCTTGGCATGACTTCAACTTTGTTCTCCTTGACAATTGAATGGTATGATTATGGTGGTTTCAACATTATTTTTGATTATGGTGGTTTCAACATTATTTTTGATGTTGAAGCCGCTTGTGCTCCCATCACTTCTCAGAAAAACTCTTGGCATGACTTCAACTTTGTTCTCCTTGACAATTGAATGGTATGATTATGGTGGTTTCAACATTATTTTTGATTATGGTGATTTCAACATTATTTTTGATGTTGAAGCCGCTTGTGCTCCCATCACTTCCAGAAAAACTCTTGGCATGACTTCAACTTTGTTCTCCTTGACAATTGAATGGTATGATTATGGTGGTTTCAACATTATTTTTGATGTTGAAGCCGCTTGTGCTCCCATCACTTCTCAGCCCACGGTGGTAACTTGGTCAGCCGTAATTTTGATGATGGGCCTTCTTCTGTAAATGGCATTATTACCTTATCCCGAGGTCATCTTGAACAACAATCCTTAGAAGATAGAAAAAGTAAGTGCCAGTCTGATCTGGCTGTCTCAGCATATGATGATCTATGGAAATGAAATGGTACTGTAACTCTTGGCATGACTTCAACTTTGTTCTCCTTGACAATTGAATGGTATGATTATGGTGGTTTCAACATTATTTTTGATTATGGTGGTTTCAACATTATTTTTGATGTTGAAGTCGCTTGTGCTCCCATCACTTCTCAGCCCACGGTGGTAACTTGGTCAGCCGCAATTTTGATGATGGGCCTTCTTCTGTAAATGGCATTATTACCTTATCCCGAGGTCATCTTGAACAACAATCCTTTGAAGATAGAAAAAGTAAGTGCCAGTCTGATCTGGCTGTCTCAGCATATGATGATCTATGGAAATGAAATGGTACTTAGCCAGTTAATATGGAATAAATTACTTTTTGAATACATTTACCAGAGTGATTGTACCCTTATAAATGCACGTTCACTCCTTAATCAAATCATTCATTGACTTGGCCTATCAGCTAAATTGGTTAGAGTGTCATGCTAGCAAAGCGAGGATACCAAATCATTTATTGACTTGAAAAAGTGATCGGATCAAAGGATTATTGATTCAATAGTTGACATGATAAATACATCATAAATACAGTTAATGGTTATAAAACATATAAAATATGTAAACAATTGTAGAACTTTAGTGCATGTTAGAAATAATCACTTCAACCCTCACTCTAATCTTCTTAAATAATGTTTGTTTGAACCTTAAAAATAACTTGTATTGAATAAAAGACAAAATATTATACGACGCACTATTTCCTAGTACTTTTAAATTTTCAAAAACATAGGATTTGTAATCTGTATGGCAAATATGGCAGCTGTAATCTATAAGATAGGTATGATTAAATAATAAAAGACAATGAAAAAGAAATAGTAAAATATATTTTGAGAGAGATGGACGAAACAAAAGAAATAAATGTTATTGTCAATTATGCATTGTAATTGACAAGATTCAAATATGAGATGTCATTAAATGAGTTAAATTGTCAAATTTTAAAAAAATTTTGGGCTTGATCAAAATTGGGCAATGCACCGACCAATTCAGTCAAAATCATTTTGGTTCAATTGCTTCACAATTAAACGGGGCCGTTTTCTCATTTGAATCCAAGTTACCTAGCTTTGACCCCTACTAAGTTTCATGACCTGATCACACCAAAAGCAAACTGATCGACGTATTCAACTTGTCCAATCGCTCAATACAGTCCGGGTTTTCAGACATTGGCAGCTAGTTCAACACTTGCACGCTTTTTCTCCATATATCCAGTAGTCTTGGATGAATCTCGATGAACAAATCTTATAAAAGAAATATAAGAATTTTCATGCATTCGGGTTAAAAATAGTTATATCTTCTTGGAAAATTAAATTGAAAACAAAAAATGAGCTATCATGATATGGGCATAAATAAATTGGGATGCTGTCATAATTTTCATCGCCTTGAAACTTCCATGCATTAAACAAGTTTTCATTTAAAAAAAAATCCAACAAATTAGTTTGATTTTCTTTCTCGGTTCATTGTACATCGATTTTGAAGTAAAAAAAAAAAGGCTTTTTTCTATGCATAGGGGGACAATTTCTAAATTGTACTAACCGATCTATGATACAGGCTTACAGGGCTAATTGATCAGAATATATGTTTAAAAAAAACTATCGGACAACTACGGATCTGACAGGGTGGGAGTATAAATCTATGGGTGCCAAGCTGACACAGCCAGGCACCTGACA